TTGACATGGGTTGACATTTCAACCCTAAATATGGAAGTGCAATGGAGGCAAATAAGTTTTTTTGTTTTTTTTTACTTATTTCCATGGAAATATTCTTCACAACAAATTCATCAATTGCATTCAGTAGGCTTGTGCACGTCATGAATTTTTGGTTTGTCTGAATAAATTTAAATTTCGAATTAGTCGATTTGTTTTGTATGAAATTTGGCCAATATTTTCCTTCAGAATTTTCATTTGGACGAATGGAATGCCACGATCACTAATAAGTCTTTCCTTGCTTTGGAACGCAAATAATGTGGGATTGCCATATAAAATAGTATTAAAGGACCACTATAGTAACCCAGACCACTTCAGCTCAAGTAAGTGGTCCTTTAAATTAAATTAAATTATGGAAGGAGCTGTGTTTAGTCAATAGCTCCCTATTTTGGTATCTTTAAATATGGCAATCACACACCAAAGAATACCAAATTAGGGACCTATCTACCATAAAGCTGAAAGATCAAAATTAAGAAAACTTTATATTTTGCAGTTTGGTCTTTCTTCTGTTTAGTAGATTGTTGCCTAACTTGGTACCCTTGTGTTATTTTGCCATATTTTAGGATACCAAATTATGTAGCTATTGACTAAACAGAATGACTCTCAAATTTGGTAGTGGTACCCTTAAATTTGGATTTGCAATCCCACATAAGGGCATAAACTTTAACAAAATGAATTAACAAATAAATTGAACTAAAATGTTAATTTCAAGCTATTCATCCAGTAGTTCATTCTTCTATTGTGCCATTTGGAATTTGGACGAATGTATGAATGATCTGCAGTTTTTCCAAAAATGAATGCCCAAGTCTAGCATTTACAGTGAGGTACAGCTTCCCTATACAATTCCCTGAGGTTGACTTGTGTATATTAAATGTAATCCTAAAAGGTTTTTGCTTAAAGAATATTTATTGCATAAATGCATAAATCTTGGTACAAACCGGGCAGGAGGTTAGCTTTGCAATAAACATATCAACCATTATTTAGTAACTAACACATATTCATACAGGGTAATTATTGTTATTATTATGATATTTATAGAGCGCCGTCAAATTCCGCAGCGCTTTACAATGGGTGGACAAACAGACATGTAGTTGTAACCAGACAAGTTGGACACACAGGAACAGAGGGGTTGAGGGCCCTGCTCAATGAGCTTACATGCTAGAGGGAGTGGGGTAAAATGACACAAAAAAGGTAAGGATAGTATTAGACTAATGACAGTTGCAGAAGAGGAATCAGTCAGGAGCTATTAACAGTTTAATTGATACACTTTTATGAAGAAGTGGGTTTTTAACGATTTTTTTGAAGGAGTGGAGAATGGGTGAGCATCTAACGGAGGAGGGAAGCGAGTTCCACAGGAACGGTGATTCAATGAGAATTCAAAGTGAAATGAAAAATTATTTAAAATGTTAGGATAGAGGAGATAAACTGAAATCATAGCTGACTTAGAAAATTTCTTCAGTTCCTATTTTGACCTTAACTTTGAAATTCACTTTTAATTCACTTTGAATTCTCACATTAGTGCATAATCCTGTTTGTATGTATTACATTTAGTATTTCCTTTTTGAAGTCTTTCACACCCAAAGCACCTCTGACACTCATTACAATATCTAAGTCAACTTTATTTTGCCCACCATTCATTCATATTTAATCTCCTCTGCTTGACTCTCATGGTTCATTATCTTTCAAATCCTTTGCATTCTCAAGCTTAGTGCCCCCAAATGTCACCTCCTTACTCCCAGGGAATATCTTTCAATTCTTCCATGTTATTGTATATTCTATCAATGTATCGTTCAATTGACATATGCTCCTAATTCCCAGTCCAGTACCACCAGTTTCATTTTCAGTGTTATAATCTCCAAAATCATTCATGTCTAATCCAACATTCCCCAATTAATTTCCCCTAAATGCAAATGATTTTTACCTCAGCCCATCCCACTTAGTCTACACTTCATGCATTAAAAATATGCTAATGGATTGCTGCCACCAGATATGGAACACAGAACCCACATTTTTTTTAAATATTGCCACAATTTGTTCACTTGTACAAGTGGGTGAAACTTACCTTTCAGAATGCTTTGATCGATTGGCTTCCAAGCCAATCAAGCACAGGTCTCTAGTTGTCAATCAAAAATTGGAAAGGCCTTTATAAAGGTCTTTCGAGCTTTGAGTCCTCAGAATACACAGAACCTTCAATGGACTCACTTGGACTATTCATATTCCCGGTAATCTGGATGATTCTTGCAAACTGGGCCAGGGGTATAGTGAATAACCCAGAGAGTTTCAGAAGTATATACCGCACATCACAATGTATTGCTCTCCACTTTGAAATTCAAGGGGTTAATAAATACAACTTCATTACATAATTGTTATCTTGTCGTGAATGCCTACAGAGGATTTCTATTGTATAGAATACATATGCATAGACTTTTTTTAGAAACATTGCAACAAATAGTGGACTTCATCACTATTTTAAGTCACACAATTTTAAGTATACAGCGTTCATTAACTAGTACACCTACAGCTGCCATGTTTTTTGTCTCTGGATTCCTTAAGTAGACAGTGATTTACCAAATGTTTAATTAAGTACTCTGTTCCTCTTAAGAAATTTGACATGATTATTTGCTTGAAGCCCGTATTCCTTTCTTACAAATGTCACTTTACAAAATATATAAATCTAAACAAGTGATAAAAGTTGACAAAGAACTATTGCATAGAATACAATACAGGTTGACCTCGCTCACAAATAAGTATGCTCATCAAAACAAAAGGCATTCACACAATGATAACACATCAAAAACATAATGCTAACTAAGAAAAAGACAGCATATTATTATCTCCTCCAGAAATTAAAACAACTAGTTAACATAAGTTGAAAAATAAGAATCAAAAAGTACAGAAAAGAAAACATGAAAAATATCATACAATAGGAAGCCTCAATAAAGTAAACTTGGTATAAGAAGAATGTACTGGAAAATAGCATCAAAGTGACACTCCAGACTCCTAAAGCATCTTCCCATGCTAAAGTACATTATTTGTGAAGAGTGTGTTCTCTTTTCATTTTACAAAAAGTACAGATCTCAATAGAGGTGGGGGCCTTAATATTAATATTAAAGGGAAGGGACTTGGCTCCCCCTCCAAACCTACACCCGTTGATGATGGATAGGGCTCTAATATTAATAATAAAGGGGGTACATTTTGTCCTCTTTCTTAGTCCCAACCCATGGGTGGCAGGTAGGGGCTCTAATAAATTATAAAATAAGGGGGTGGACATGACATTTTTCAACCGCCAAATATTAGCATGCCATTCCCCTAGACATGCCCTAAAATAAAGTCCCTACCTACCCACGTCACCATAATGATAGTGACCAGGTGGACAATAAATCTAAGACCTATTAAAAAAAATAATACAGAATATGTACTATATATTAACACAATAACAGAGGGTGCTATCACCCAAAAAAGTGTACCTCACATACACAGATAGAAATTACAACAAACAAAACATATATAATTTATACAACTCCGTGGAGAAGTATAGATTAATGGGATAGCACAAAGAATATAGGGGATACAACCTGTGCAACAGGAGGTGGTCTATGGAGGATCTAGAAATATAAATATAAAAAAAAATATATAAAAATATATATGGGGGAGATAAGCGCAGAACATCTTTGTTCTCTTGTAAGTTTTCCACCTCCTGGATTGGGCTACTATTTACTCTTCATACTTCACTATTTGTGATTTTATATTTCTAGATCCTCCATAGACCACCTCCTGTTGCACAGGTTGTATCCCCTATATTCTTTGTGCTACCCCATTAATCTATACTTCTCCACGGAGTTGCATAAATGATATATTTTTTGTTTGTTTCCATTAAAAAAAATAGTTACCATCAGAATTCTTCTTTTTTTTCTAATAACTCTGTTTTTCAGCCCCAAAAGGAAGACCATGTAAAAAATCCAGAATAATTGATATTACAAATTAAAATAAAAAGGCCAGATAAAAAAACAAACAAACAAAAAAAAACCCTCAAAAATCAAAACTGTGCCACAGGAAAAAAAAAACTAAAACAAACTATCTTCACCCACAGAGGGCTCACTGCAAAATGAGCTCTGATAGTGGGAAAGCCCTTATACAGGCTTTGTAATTTTGACCTATGTGTGATATGGGCCCAGTAAAGTAATCTGCCAAAACTAGATATTTGAAAATAAAATTAGATACATTTGCCTTTGTAATTTACCAAATACACACTATTTTTACAGGTGGTGAGGCTATACTTGGAGAAGCAGTGGAATACAAATTGTTTTTTTTTCAAGGCTAGTGATTAAATAATTGCATGAAATGCATAAAACTGTCAGTTGAGAAATACATTTTACAAATATACTCATGTGTAGAAATTTTGGATTCCTTGACTATGAATGTTATAATCTCATCATATCAAATTCTGCAAACATTTAGCTTTAAAACGAATGTATTTAATTTAATATTTGTCCAATGAAAAAATAATTGTGATTCAAGATAAATGAGACATTTTTGCAATTAAGACCAATAACAGAGTATTAACGGAATATATTTTTATCCATTTTCTTTAGTTATGTTAGTTATCATTATAAGCAAAACTGTAGAAAAAGTGTTAAATCGTCATAGCTAGTGTTATGCACACATGCAGGATATCAGAAGAATCTCATAGTTGCCTTTAATACACCAGTTGCCTTTAAAGTAAGACCTATGAGTGCATCCTATTTTTTTACTTTCATTATATATATAATAAAAGAACAAAAATGGGATGCACTCAGAGGTCTTACTTTAAAGGCGACTGGTGTATTTATTGAAAAAAGGAAATAAATAATTAATAATTTCTGTGTACAAAATAATCGACGTTTCGACCCTTTAAGTTTTTTTTTGCACCAGATGAAGTGGGAAATTACATTGGAACAAACACAGAAATAGTGTCAAAACAGCCTCAGTCAGAAACACATATAATCTCAGAAAACCTCAGTCACTAGGGTCAATAGAACACTATAGGCTCCAAAACAACTTTAACTTAAAGGACCACTATAGTGCCAGGAAAACATACTCGTTATCCTGGCACTATAGTTCCCTGAGGGTGCCCCCACCCTCAGGGTCCCCCTCCCGCCGGGCTCTAGGGGGGGAAGGGGTTAAACTTACCTCTTTCTCCAGCGCCGGGAGGGGAACTCTCCTCCTCCTCTCCTCCTCCTCGGCTGAATGCGCATGCGCAGCAGGAGCCGCGCGCGCATTCAGCCAGTCCATAGGAAAGCATTCTTAATGCTTTCCTATGGACACTGGCGACTAGTGATGCCGCGAACACGAAATTTTCGGTTTGCGAATGGCGAACGCGAACTTCCGCAAATGTTTGCGAACCGGCGAATCGGGCGAACCGCCATAGACTTCAATGGG